TTCCTTTTGAGTTGGAAACTCAAAAAACGTTTACTCATTCGTTATGAAGATTTATTCTGTACTATACTGTATTTTGGATGATAATGGTAAATATAAAAATCAAGGAAAAATGGTGGTGGAATGTCCAATATTTCACTTGATGGGAGCCCCACAAAGATGGTAACTGTTGCTTTTTTTGTTTTGTTTTGGGTTTTCTTGAGACAGGTAGTTCAAGTTGGCTTTAAACTCAGTGATTCTCCTGCCTCAGCCTCCTAAGTGCTGGGATTATAGGTATGTGCTTCCACACCAGCTGTTGGTTTTTTTCACTGCTGTAACCGTTGCCCGGCACAAATGAAGTACTAGAACTGGACAAATAAAACCAAAGCAGCGAATAAATTTATCATCTGATAGATATGAAACTTACTAGTCTAGAAAACACTTTCTTCGGGGTTGAAGGACATAACTGGCTGTTATTGGCGAAACAGCAAGAAAAAATAAACTCCAGCTGCTTGGGAGCTGAGGTACAAGGGTTGAAAGTTTGAGTCCAATGCAATAAAATCCTATCTCAAAATAAAGCAGACAGGGGGGATGTGATTCAGTGGCAGATTCCTTGCTTAGCATGCATACAGCCTTGGATTCAATTTCCCAGGAAGGAGGGAGGGAGAGATGGGAGAGAGGGACAGCCTGGCATACATCTGCAATCCCAGCACACTGGAAGCTCAGGCAGAAGAGCTGAAAGTTCATCACAGCCTGAGCAACCTATTCATTCATTCATTCATTCATTCATTCATTTGTACCGGGAATCAGACTCACTCTCAAAATTTTATAGAAAAGGGCTGGGGATATAGCTTAGTACAAAGGGCCTGGGTTCAATTCCTTTTTTTTTTTTTATTTTAAAGAGTAAAAGAAGGATAACATAATAATGGAGGGGGCTTACCAAATTACAGACAAAGTGGTAGGAAATTATCAATGGTTATTGTTTTACATATTGTTGTCTACAAGGTAGTTTCTCAGGAAAACAAATGGACAAATAATAGTGAGTTACTGACAAAAGAGGTAGGAGATTATCAAGAGTTGTTGTACTATACTTTGGTATCTTCAAAGTGGCTTCTAAGGAAAATAAATAGAGATACGCAAGAAGGATCTAACAAGTAGTTACAGCCTAAGGGTTGTCAACAATAGCATATTAATTTCTCACCAGTGACTCCTGTCACTGAGGTGTGATGGCTGGAAGGCAGGCGAGGATTGAAAAGAAGGACCAACAGACTTGCACCTGTGTCTAGCAACAGGCTGTTTTCTTGTTCCTCCATAGTCATGATTACCCAGGGCTCCTCCACGGAGATGACAGTCTGGCCAGAGGGAGAAGGCAGAGTATGCCCTGGGCCCTCTCATTTCTGCTGGATTAACTGGTAGGATGGGTCTGAGCTCTGGGGCCTCCGCTTCAGAGGGCAGACCGGTCTCCAGTGGTCACCTTTGCATTCAGGGTATGGCCCAGGGGGGCTCTTAGGGCAGGTCCTCTTGAGGTGGCCTAGCTTTTAACAGTGGTAGCACATGAATGCAGTCCTCGAGTTTTTCTTGAGGCCCCGGGAATCAGACTTGGGGTCTGTTTCTTACTGCTGCAGCAAAAGCAGCTGCTTTTTCTCGGTCTCTTTGTTTTCTCTCCTTGGCCTCCTCCTCGTCATACTGAGGAGGCAATTCTTACTAACATCTCAAGTGAGCCATCTGGGGCAAAAGCCACTTTTTGTAGCGTTTTCTCTCCAGCCTCCCATCGCATTGGGCCCCCACAACCAGTTAGTGTCCTCTCCCCAACTGTCAGCACAGGCATAAGGAATCCTGCTGTAGACTTCTCTGGAGCTCCACCACACCCTGCACTGTCAGGGGAAGAATGGCTTCCAGGGAGTCTCTGCAGGTACCATGCAAGGTCTTCCTGGGTTACAGCTTCCGAGCAGCTCTCATGACCCCAGTCCACAGGACCTCTGACTCCTCGGGCTTAGTCTGTATTCTCATGTTCTCGGAGCCCTTGTTTAGCAGCTGCTCCTCCGCTGACTCTGGACCTTTCTGGTTCTCAATGGCAGGAGCAAGAGTGACTTGTTGTACGGCACGTATTCCCAGGGGTCTCTCCATGTTTGAATGATTCTCACACGTCTGTGGGTGGGCAACTGCAGTCGGTGCATGGTAGGCCAATTGTGTCACTGTTTCACTGTGTCATGGCAGTTCTCAATTGAGCGGTGGCGGCCGGCCTGAGGGCCAGTGCGCAACAGCGCTGGTGGCTGCATGGCTCTCCATGCGCCGGGGGCCCCCCTTTCTGGGCGCCTACCAGGCAAGCAGCAAGCTGGCCCAAAGACCGGCGCTCCCCACCCGTGGCTCCCCATGCGCCCGGGCCCCCCCTTCCAGGCTCCTACGAGGCAGGGAGCGAGCCGGCCCCTCAATTCCAAAATTCTACGGAAGGAAGGGAAGAAGAAAGAGAAGGACAGAGATAAGAAGGAAAGGAAAAAAGGAAGAATGACAAAAACCAAAAATTATACTTGTCAATATGAATTTTTATTAACACACATTTGTCAAAGTCTGTACAAACCAAAACATTCCTGTGTTTTAAAATGTCCATTATAAACATACAAAGAAACAAAAGTGTTACCAAAAGTTAGCTACTCAATATTATGGTAAACAGTGTCATGATTTTTAAAAAACCAAATTTTAAGACTGAGGTTTCTTCTTTTCCTTTTAGGAACTTATGGAAAGTTAGAAAATGTGTGGGTTTGCTTTATATTAAATGCCACGACTTTAAAAAAAGATTTAGTATAAAACTAAATGTGTTTTTTATATTGTCATACTTCATATAACAGAATTTCTCAGTCTTTAAAATTTAAAAAAATCATGACTGTCATTTTTTCACAATCTTTTCCCAATGCAAATGCATCTGAAAAATATTATCTGACAGTTTTAGCTTTACCTAAAAGTTTCTCATTCAAAAAAAGCTACTGAACTGGCCAGGCGTGGTGGCACACACTTGCAATCTCAGCACTCAGGAGGCTGAGGCAGGAGGACTGCTGTGAGTTGGAGGCCAGCCTGGGCTAATAGTGAGTTCAAAACCAGCCAGAACTATACAGCAAAACCCTGTCTCTAAAAAAAAAAAAGTTATAAACTATTTAGCACTGTAGTTTCCCTTGCTTAGAAGGAAAAGTTATACCCCCTACTAGGGTGATATATAAACATGATCCATTGTATCTCTCACCAGAAGGAAGCCATCCCACTTCCATATCTTTGTCCAATTATGTGCATGGCTCCACTTACGCAAATGTTACCCTAAATTATAGCACATTTGCTTTCAACAAGTTACATTTACTGCTGGTAGGCTGAGGTGCAGTCTCATCTGCTCTCATGATCACCTTTAACTCTAGTGCCCCCCACATTAATGACTCCAGGGTAGCTGGTTCTGTCCTGTTTCATGGCACAAACCACACATCCTTAATTTATGTCAGAAATAACCACATTAAGGACCTGAGAGTATGGCTAACAATGCAAATGTATTCCCTTTCCTGGAGAAGTAAATCTGCATGCCTACTGTGTGGAAAAGAGAGAACAGAGCACACCCGACTGTGGCTGAAGCCACCCTGCCTCTGAGGAGCACCTGTTTTCAACACCTTTCCACTGAAAGCAAGAAGTGCACAGGCTGGGGTGGGCGGAAAGGAGTGGGAAGAGGTACAGCGAAACAGTTTCTCCCAGTAAGACCCATGCCCATACTCCAACAGCCTGTACTGACCCCAGAAATGCTCTATACTTCAAAGACTTCATTGTGTTTGTATTTTCAGTACTAAGGATTGAACCCAGGGCCTTTGCACTGAGCTATGTCCCCAGCCCAAAGACCTCATTTTTTTTTTCTGTCTTTTTGAGACAGGGTTTTGCTATGCACTTCAGGCTGACCTTGAGCTTACTTTGTAGCCAGGCTGGCCTTGAACTTATAATGACCCTCCTGCCTCAGCCTCCCAAGTGCTGGGATTACAAGCATGCGCCACCACATCCAGCCCGAAACCTCATTTTGAATCTGCTCATGTAAAAAGAAGTTTTCTGACAATAGCTCAGTATGACAACTGATAACAAGTAAAGGGTATTAAAAAACAAAAAAGTGGCAGTGTGAGAATTTAAAATCAATCATGTAAAAGAATAAGGAAAGGAGTGGGGGAGGGAAGTGTCCAGTACAACCTGGACAACCTTTCTTTCTGCCCTTACTTAAAAAGACAGACTGTTCCAATCTTTGCAACCTCTCTATGCTCTTCTAAGAAATCCTCCCAAAGGCACTTAACTCCATACTTATGCATTAAATTCACCTTAGCAATCCGTTTTTAAGACTCTAAGGTAAGAAACAAAAGATCTGATTCTTCTACTAAAAGCTAGAGAATAGGACTGGTTTTTTTTTCCTCCAAGAGGCATCATTTTTACAAGAAGAACTATCTAGGCTACCACTGTTCCTTTATCAAGAAAAAGTTTCTTTTTTTAAAAAATAAATAAAACTCTGGCTATACATAGTACAAAGTTCATACATAATATACCTGGAAAAAACCCCAAGAGTATACCCTGAAGCAAAAGGTTTATTGGAGAGAGGGAGCCTCTCTCGTTGTACCAGTCTTAAGGTGGCAGTTTTCCGAAGTTCAGAGGTGGCAGTGATAGATACTTAATGCCAAACTATTTGCTCACGGGTACGGCCGGATGCAATGACGGACAGAAAAAAGATCATTCTGCACGTAACACTGGGCAGCGACCACCACACACAAAAACAGAGAGTAGTACCAAAACAGACAAAAGAGAGGCAAAGAAAGGGTGAGCGAGGAGGACGGAGGGAAGAAGAGAAAGGGAGAGAGGAGAGGGAGGAGGCAGAGGAGGAGGGAGAGGAGGAGGGAGAGCGGAAGGCGCACACTGACAGGGAGGAGGGGGAGGCTGAAACCCAAGCACTCGGCATGCAGGCGCCACACAGCACGGACCAGGTGTTCCACCCAGCCCACCGCAGTCGCGCAAAGAAGGGTAACTGTAGTAAAATGGGGATCTTTAAGAACGCTTGCAGTTCCCAGAGAACAGCCAGGTCTCTAACCCTAACCCAAGGTGACTCCATCTGCTGTTGCTGGGGAGCAGCCTGCCATCGGTCACGGAGAGGTTATCGCTCCTGACTTCTCGGACTTCTTGCTTTTGGACAGTGCAGCTGCCTGCTTCAGAAGCTCTCGGTTTTTAGCCTTTAAAAAAAAATTAAACTTAATGGATAGTAATAACAACAAATGGTAGCATAAATTTTCCACGCAGATGTGAAAGCAGACAATGCAGAGGTTCAAGAAGTGATGAACAGTGGCTCACGCCTATAATCCCAGCACTCGGGAGGCTGAGGCAGGAAGATCATTGCGAGTTAGAGGCCAGCCTGAGCTACAAAGTGAGCTCAAGACCTGCCTGAACTGCATAGCGAGACCTCATCTCAAAAAAAAGTCAAGAAGTGATGAACAATACTAATTCCAGAGGTAAAAGATAGAAAGTTCTAGAGCTTGACACTTAGTTCAGAGAAAAAAGTATCTGCTAGAGGCTAACAGGGGTGTTTCTATCTCTAAAGTTCCACTGTTGGTTTTTTAAATTAGTTAATTAATTAATTAATTTAGACAAGGTCTCGCTTTGTGGTTTAGGCTGGTCTTGAACTCAAGATGTAGCCTGGGTTGGCCTTGAATTCACAGTGATCCTACTACCCCAGACCCCACGTTCTAGGCTTATAGGCATATGCTACCACACCTGGTGGACCCATTGTTTTACTTTTTTTTGTCTTTTTGAGACACGCAGTTCAGGCTGGCTTTGAGCTCACTTTATAACCCAGGCTGGTCTCGAACTCAAAACAATCCTCCTGCCTCATCCTCCCAAGTGCTGGGATTACAGGCGTGCGCCCCCACACCCAGCAGACCCACTGTTTTAAAAGGATGGTTTATTCAATACAAACAAACCAGGGAGTCCCTGAATGAACTAGAAAAACAGAAAACTGTAACTCAGACATCTAAACTCCTATCTGGTACATTCAAAAATCAAAAAATACATTTATTAATTCTACAATTTTTCAAAGGAAAAGATCAGAATGCATTCAAGAGTAAACAATAAAATATACCCAAAAAAGGGATTGACCAATATTTTGCAATGTGTCAATATTTTGAGAAAAAAATCTGGAGATTAATACTTAAAATATAATCAGGCAGGGGCTGGGGATTTAGCTCAGCGGCAAAGCACCTGCCTGGCAAGTGCAACATCGTGAGTTCAATTCCTGGTACCGGAAGAAAAACAAAAACAAACAAACAAACAAAAGAAATATGATCAGGCAACTACCCCAGGTCACCACACACAGCGAGCAGAGGCACCTGCAATTGCTCTGTGACTTCTTTGTGCGTTTTCTCCATCTGGTTCATCTTGGTCCTCATCTGGGATTCCTGGTACTGAAAATCAGCCTTCAGCTCTGTGATCTACAGGAAAACAGGCAGAAAGGAAGAAGAAGAAACTGCTGTGCAGTGAAAAATGTTCTGGTATCAGACAGCTAAATGGTCCCTGAAATTCATGAACTCTCCAGGGCTCTCCTGCAGATCTACACCTACATCAAGCCAAGAGGTATTCTATTTTTTTCTAAAGCTCACCTGAACTAACATTTCCTTCTTTTTTAAAGAGGTATCTCATTGTTCTGTTTTTTCTACTTTGATTTTTTTTTTGAGACAGGGTCTCGCTATGCAGTCCAGGCTGGCCTTGAACTCACTGTGTAGCCCACTCTGGCTTCAAACTTTCAGCACCCTCTTGCCTCAGCTTCCCAAGTGCTGGGATTTCAGGTGTGCACCACCATGCTCAAGGTGCCTTACTACTGAGCAGTCTTGCCCTGAACATCTTAGGCTCCAACTATCCTCCTGCATCAGCCTCCAGAGCAGCTGGGGCTACAGACACGCACCATTCTGTCCAACGCTGAATTAACATTTCTGATACTCAACCACTAGCAAAATTTTAAGATTTTAAGTATTTAATATATACCAACTTCTCCAAATAAAACAATATATAAAGTAACTAATGGTCTGAGAAAAGCCTTGAGAGTGCCAGGCATGGTGGCACATGGCTGTAATCCCAGCACTTGGAGGTTGAGGCAAGAGGATCATTGCAAGTTAGAGACCAGCCTGCACCACAAAGCGAGCTCAAGGCCAGCCTGAACTGCATAGCAAGACCCTGTCTCAAAAAGACCAAAAGAAAAAGAAGGAAAGAAAGAAAGAAAAGCCATGAGAGTAATAGATGCTGCCCATTACTGAACTTTTACCATGTTCCAGAAAAACTGATTTTATTACTTCATTCAATTTTTTTTCTTTTTTGAGACAGGATCTTTTTATGTAGCTCAGGCTGGCCTTGAACATGCAGCTATCCTCCTGCCTCAGCCTCCTGAGTGCTGGGATTACAGGTGTTTGCCACCATACCTGGCTCCCTTTTTTGGTGTTTTGAAACAGTGTCTTGCTGTGTAGTTCAGGCTGGTCTCAAACTCATGGTCCTCCTGCCTCAGCTTCTGGGGTTACAGGTGGAGGCCACCACACTCGACTTCATTAAATCTTTACAATAACCTTGTAGGGGCAGTATTGCCATTTCATAGATGGGAAAACTAAGGCTCAGAAAGGATTAAGTAACTTGGCCAAGAGCATCCATAGTGTTAGCAAGCAACAGAGGTGGATTTCAAACTCTAGGCTCACTTCTACTGACTACACTACTCAAGGATCAAAGGATAGCTAATCAGAGAGGTGGCATGTGAACTAAGTTTTAAGGAACAGCAGCAGCAGGCACTTAAAGTGAGGAGAAAGAAGGGCACCCAAGTAAAGAGAGGGGTATGGCCACAGCCAGAGGTGACTGATGACCTAGACAGGGCAGAAGGTGAGGCCAGTGACAGGCAGCTGTGATGCAGAAAAGTCTGTGTCCCAAGCCAGGAGGTGTGACCTTAGTCCTGAAAGCTACAGGATACAATTTTATTATTTGTTTCTGCACCTTTCAAAACCCTAATTTGTTTTTGTTTTTTTGAGACAGGGTCTCGCTATGTATTTAGGCTAGCTTTGGAATATATAGCTCAAACTGGCCTTGAACTTGTGGCAATCCTCCTGCCTCAGCCTCCCGAGTGCTGGGATTACAGGCATTTGCCAACACCCCTGGCTTCAAAACCCTAATTTTGCAAAGCAGTAGGAACAACTGTTCATTCTCTGTTTTGCAAAGGTCATTTTATGTACCATTCTGATCTGGGCACATACAATATACTTGGGCCCACATTCATCCACTAGGCACAAGTAAAGCAGAAAGAAAATGGGTATCTTCCTGTGAATCTCCACCTTACTGGCAAAATGAAAACAGCAGAGTTAGAAAGACTTGGGTCCACTCCCTTGCTCAGTCATTTATTAGCTGAGCAATTTGGACATAAACTAGTCAACCTCTTTGCGTATATTTACTTATGTGCAAAATGAGGTGGGAATTAAGTGAGAAGAATGCATGAATTTATCTAATATAAGGCGGGTTCAGAGGCATAGTCCTGTAGCCCCACCACTTGCAAAGCTGAGGCAGGAGGACTACCTGAGCCCAGGAATTCAAGATCAACTGAGATGACACAGAGAACCAGTCTCAAAACAAAACAAAACAAAACAAAACAAAACAAAACCAACAACAAAAAAAGAAAGTAAAAAGGAAGGAAAAGAGAAGACTTTAACAGTATAAATGTCTTTGTTATCCACTTAGAATGAGTCACAGCATTCTGAATTTGGCACAAGGCAATATATGGTTTAGGGAAAAAAACAGAGACAGGGAAGGGACTGGAATCCTAAGAAGGAAAAATACTAGAGGCATTCCTCATCTATGAAATGATGGTAATAATTCTTACTCACAAGGTTGTTATAAAACAGGTGTGGTGGTGCACACCGCTAATCCCAGCCCTGGGGAGGCTGAGGCAGGGGATCACTGTGATTTCAAGGACAGGTTGTTATAATAATAAATGAGTTGGGACTTCTGCAAAGATGGCAGAGTGAATGTTTTTTTTTTTTTTTTTTGGTTTGGTTTTTTCCAGTACCGGGAATCAAACTCACAACCTTGCACTTGCCAGGCAGGTGCCGTGGCACTGAGCTAACTCCCCAGCCCTGCAGAGTGGTGAACAGCACAAAAACAGCCTCTGAAATTTGGTGTCCAGATGCTGGAATATAGCAATGTGAGGAAGAGAAGAACGAGGGAAGTGGATCCCTGGAAGCCAGCAGGGATCTGAAGCAAGAATTGAAGCTGATGGGGAGAGTGAGGAGAGGCCTCGACACAGAAGGAAGTGGCAAGACTGAGAATGGCTAAGGGTCATGAGCAGTACTACAGGCCAGCGCCGAAGAACCAGGGGGTCAGCCAAACAGGCAGCAACTTCTCACTCCCAATAAATTGAAGAGGTAGGATCGTGAAACAGATTCAAAATCCAAAAGCTAGCTGCACCTGGAAAACATCTTTGAGAAGTAGTCATTTCCTAAGGGGTTGCAATACTTTTTTTTTTTTTTTTTTGAGATAGGGTCTCATTGTGTAGTTCAGGCTAGCCTTGAGCTCACCATATAGCCCAGGCTGGCCTCAAACTCATGGCCATTCTTCTGCATCAGCCTCCTCAGTGCTAGGATTACAAGCGTGCACCACCATACCTCAATGGGCTCTCAGTACTAGCAATAAAGCTACCTGCCATAGGCCTTCTTCAAGCATCAACTCAGGAATTAAACTAAAAAGTAGAAAATGAGAAGATACCCAAGCAAGATGCAGCTCCAGAGTTTAAACTCACCAAAGGCAAACCCAGGGGGCAATGAGGTGCCACAATTTGAAAGCCACCCACCTGGACTCTCTGAAGTGGTAACAGTGGAGGTAACAGAGCAGACAAATGAAGCTCTAGAAATAATAAAGTCAGAAATAATTTCTCAGATAACTACAGAGATGGTGACCATAATGAAACACAGGTTTAGTGATTCTAGAGCAGATTCAGACCAAAAAAAAAAAAAAGCAGCAGCAGCTCAGGAAAATGATGGAAACTATGAATGCCCAACATAGGAAAGAAACGGAATCCATGAAACAGATTCAAACAGATATCCAGGAGATTAAAAATTCCACTGAAAGTATGCACAGCAGAATGAGCCAATGTGATGACAGAATTTCAGATATAGAAGACAGGACTAAGGTTAGCAATCATAAAAAGAAAGATTTCTTAAAAATAGGAAGGGACCACAAGAAATCAATCCAACAGTTGCTAGATGATGCAAAGAAGAATAACATAAGATTGATCAGAGTCAATGAAAAAGCAGGAGATAGCACAAATGACATAAAAAACCTGTTCACAGAATGGCAGTAAACTGCCCAAACGTGGAAAAAAGAATCTGACATACAGATATGTAAGACATACAGAACTCCAATTAACCATAAAAAAAAAACCACACCAAGGTATATAATAGTCAATATTCCAGAAATTCAGCACAAGAACAGAATCCTAAAAGAAGTTAGAGAAAAACAAACAAATCACATATAAAAGAAAGCCCATCAGAATCACAGGAGACTTTTCAACACAAACTCTCAAGTCGAGGAGAGCTTGGACTGAAGTATTTCAAGCCTTAAAAGAAAAAACCTTTAGCTCAGATTTATGTACCCCACAAAACTCTTTCAAAATTATGGAGAGATAAGACACTTCCATGACAAAGAACACTTAAAGAAATTCATGACAACTAAACCAGCACTTCAAAATGTTCTAAAGGACACTCTAGGAAGAGATAACAAGAACAATTCCATGAACCCCAACAGAATGAATCCACTAGGCAAGGTAAGTAATTAAACAGGGGGAAAAGGGAACAACAGGCAAATAAAATAACAAGGATAAGTCAACATATATCAGTTATCTTTGACAAAGGAGCCAAACACCTTAAAATAGCCTCTTTAATAAGCAGTCCTGGAAAAACTGACTTTCCACATGCCAAAGATTAAAACTAGGCAGATGTGGTGGCTCTTGCCTGTAACCTTACCACTTGGAAGGCTGAGGCAGGAGGAGCTTTGTGAGTTTGAGAACAGCATGGGCTACATTGTAGAGGCCAGTCTGAATTACACAGCGAGATCCTGTCTCAAAAAAAAAAGATTAAAACTAGACCCATATCTCTCACCATGCAATAAACTAAAATCAAAATGGATCAAAGACCTAAATATTAAAACAGAAACACTCTATCTATGGAAGATAGAATAGGTAGAACACTTAAAGACACAGGTATAAGCAAAGACTTTATGAATAAAACTCTGATCGCATAGGAAACATTACAAAGAATCAACAACTGGGATCTCATCTTATTAAAAAGCTTTTGCACAGCAAAAGAAACTATCAACAAAGTGAAGAGACCACCCACAGAGTAGGAAAAAAGTTTTGATAGCTGTTCCTCAAAGGACTATTAATATCTATTTTGTTGTTGGTTTTTTTCAACATTAGTAGCAGCACCAGCAGCACCACTGTGAGAACTATTATCTATAATATAGAAAGAACTCAGAAAATTCAGACCTCCCAAATTAGTTAATTAATTAATCAACCTATTTATTTTTGAGACAAGGTACCACTATGTAGTGCAAACTGGCCTTGAACTCACTTATGTAGCCTAGGCTGGCCTCAAACTCACAGTGATCCTCCTGCCTCAGCCTCCCGTATGCTAAGGTTACAGGCATGTGCCACCATGCCCAGCTAGACTCCCCCAAATTTTAAGACCCAATCCAAAAATGGGCATCTGAAATGAGCAGACACTTCTCAGATAAAGAGGTAGAAACAGCAAATAAATATATGAAAAAATGTTCAATATCTCCGGTCATTTGAGAGATGCAAAAAACACTGAGATTCCATCTCACTTCAGAAAGAATGGCTATTATCAAGGAATCAACCAATAACAAATGCTGGAGGGGCTGTAGGTAAAAATGAACACTCTTCTCCACTTTTGGTGGGAGTGCAGACTGGTGCAACCACTGTGGAAATGAGAAAAAAAAAAAAAGTAGCAAGATATATCATGTACAGGTATAAATTCCCTATAATAAATCTTACCATTTTGTATTTCTAAAACGTACCAATAAAAAATTAGTTAATTAAAAAAAAAAGAATGAATTCACACATATCCTAAGGTAGTGGTACTTTGAACAGAGATAGACACTAAGCATCCAATAGAAGCTAGCTATTATTGTTATTAAGGTAAAAAGGAGATACTTTCTAAGAACTTGAAAATAACAATACACATGAGCCGGGCATGGTGGCGCAAATCTGTAATTCCAAGACTTGGGAGGCTGAGGCAGAAGGATCATTGGGAGTTCAAGGCCAGCCTGGGCTTCAAAGTAAGTTCAAGACCAGCCTGAACTGCATAGTGAGACCCTGTCTCAAAAAGACCAAAAAGAAAAAAAACCCACAAACAAACATGAATTAGAACAAGGATATAAAAAGCTCCCTTTAAGAGAAAGGATAACTTAGACCAAAATAAGATTGGTCTTATGAAGATATGACCATAATATTAGAAAAATGATACAGCTGGGTATAGCAGCACATGTTTATAATCCAGCACTGAGGGAGGCTGAGCCAGGAGACTGCAAGTTTGAGCCCAGCCTGGGCAACTTAACAAGACTCTGTTCTCAAAATGAAAAACAGAAAGGGCTAAGCCAGGCATGCTGGCACACACCTGTAATCCCAGTATTTGGGAGGCTGAGGAAAGAGGACTGCCACAAATTCAAGGCCAGTATGGGCTACATACAGTAACAGGTTCAGGTCAAGGCCAGCCTGAACCACAAAGTGAGACCTTGTCTAAAAAAAAAAAAAGAAGGGCTGGGGATTTAGCTCAGCGGCAAAAGCGCCTGCCTGGCAAGCGCAAGGTCGTGAGTTCGGTTCCCGGTACCGGAGAAAAACCAAAAAAAAAAAAAAAAAAGAATATCCTAACATAAAGATAGAACATTAATAATGAAGATACTGATGTATTAATGTGTTTGTAGTAGATACCTTAATAAGAGAGCTCTAAGATGAAGCAGTAGCGTAAGAGTCACGGAGAAAGGTCCAGCTGGACACTGTCAGGAAGGAAGGAAACCTGGCCCACATACTTTGAGTATTACTGTCCCATAGACACAGCCACCCCGTAATAGAGATGGAGACATCGGGTTCTTTTAGCCTGAGAGCATTAAACATTCCAGTTGCATACACGCCATCTCTCCTCCCAACTCCATGCTCATTCAGCACCTTCTGATTACACCCTTCCAAGGCAGGTCACTCCGACAATAGCACGCTGTTGTATGCTTCACTGTCAACTAGGGTGTGAACACTGTAGTTTTATATGTTGTCTCTGTAGCTTGGCTCACAAATGTCCTCTCTGAGAAAGGGAAGCTCCCTCCAAACGCTAAGAAAATCAGCTTTCTAAACTCACGTGGCTGAAGCAGACTGATGAGGTAATGCCAAGGATAATGCCCTTGAGCCGAAGTGAGCCTCCCCGCAGGACATCCCAACCCTGCCACGGAATCTCTCTCCATGCATCAGTGGCCAACAAGTATCAGTCGAAGTGAGTCATTCTCTCATTTCACACACCTTACCCCTTGCATCATTCTAAGCCAGGTCTTCACTAAACGTACCTTCTTCTCCTTCTCCAAAATCATCTGATCCTTTTGGTGCAACATCTTCTTCAGAGTAGCCACCTCTTCTTTCAGTTGGGCGATGATGACAAAGTGGTCAGTGCCTGGTGAGTCCAGAGCCAGGTCTGGGGAAAAGCTGAGGAGAAAACGGAAGGAAAAAAATCTTAACTTGGATGGATAAACATCCCTACCTGAGGATGCAACCCAGGTCACTTGATTGTGAGCTCCTCCAGTGCTGAAGTAGCTCTCTGAATTCCCAGGATCAAGCACATTGCTCCAGACTCACCAGGACTAACAGCACTTGCCAAAGTGCACAGCTCAAGTGGTCACCAACACAAACCACAACCTACTTCCACTCCTCTCTCCCATTCAATTGTAAAATGCCATGCCAGGGATAGAGCTCAGGGGCACAGGTGCCTGTCTGGCAAGCGCAAGGTTCTGAGTTTGATTCCCGGTACAAAAAAAAAATAATAATAAAATAAAATAAATAAAATAAAATAAAATAAAATAAATACAATACAACACAATACAATACAATAAAATGAATGCCATATCCCAACAACCAAGGGTACTGTTCCGGTTGACTAAAGATCCCCACGGATTTACTCGTGATACAGTCATGTTTACAGTTAGAGAACTCCCCTGAAGTTCTGGATTACAAATCGTAAGCTCAAGCATTTAGGGCTGTACTCCAGAGCCCTGTGACAAGGTGCAGCTCTGCAAAAGCTACTAAATTCCATTCTAGAGGCAGTCAACTCTTTTTGTAAAAAGAAGAAATTAACAGGAAGGAAATCAACTTCTTTTATGTTACAATTGGCCTCCAGACTGTCATCTTCAGTATCAAGAATTCTGTGGTATTTAGTTAAAAAGAAGAAAGGGGTGTTAAGCTCCAGAGTCACGCTATAGCCTGCTTTTTCAACAGATTCCTTCTAGTCACAGTACTGGAGCGCTCCACTCTGTCCAGTGCCAGGGAATCTCCATGTCCTTTTAGCAGTCTCATAAATAGAGATACCCCTGAAACTGTGGTATATGTACAATATTGCCTTGCCGCACAATGGATGGGTTTTGGGGTTAAGATCCATAGCTTTTAACAGCTGGTCAAAGGAGCCTCAGACCCAAATTAAGAATCACTACCAAGAGGGTCAAATCTTGCCCTTCTCCAGAGAATTCCCAAAGAAAGCTCCTCTTCTCCCAGGACAATTTTTTTTTTTTTTTTTTTTTTTTGAGACAGGGTCTTGCCAAGTTTCTCAGGATGGCCTCAAACTTGTGCTTCTCCTGCTTCAGCCTCTCAACTGGGATTCCAGACAGGCATCCACCATGCTAGGAGAATATTTTTTTTTCTTGGTTTTTTTTTTGTGTGTGTGTGTTTTCAGACAGGATCTCACTATGCAGTTCAGGCTGGGTTTGAGCTCACTTTGTAGCCCAGGCTGGTCTCAAACTTGCAATGATCCTCCTGACCCCAGCCTCCTGAGTGCTGGGATTGCAGGCATGCACCATCACACCTGGCTAGGAGAATCTTTTAAACACAACTCTTTTTTAGCCTAAGCAGACTACTGGAATATGATTCCCAATTCCCTATGACAACAAAGCAACAACTTGGAAGTTTCCCTTTACAGCTTGTTGGCTGATACATGTATGTATATATTTATTGTGGTCCTGGGGATTGAACCCACAGCCTTTATACTAAACTGTATATACAGTCCATATTTTACTTTTAGCCAGGGTCTCGCTAAATCACTAAACTGCCCAGGTTGGGTTCAAACTGGTCTTCCTGCCTCAGCCTCACAGGGTACTGGGAGTACAGGAATGCAAGGGTGCTGGCATTACAGGTCTGCACCACAGATAAATAATGGATATTTCAGACACTAACACTTGCTATATAAGTACTCAGTTAAAAAATATTTCTGGTCTATATGACATTAAAAGGATTATCAAAAAACTGCAAAGGACTGTCACTTTTTTGCAAAGTGAATTAAAAACAGGGGGGGAAACTCTGCAAAAACTAAAAAGGATGGCAATGTAATTTATCTGGAGCAATGAATATTTAAAACAAACAAATGCAAATAACAAGAACAGAATGTTAAGATTCTAGCCAGGTGTGGTAGTGCATGCTTGTAATCCCAGCACTCGGGAGGCTGAGGCAGGAGGATAGTTGCAAGTTCGAGACCAGCCTGGGCTACAAAGTGAGCTCAAGGCCGACCTGAACTGCACAGCACCCTGTCTCAAAACAAAATAAAAAAAAATAAAGCCAAGTGTGGTAGTGTACACCTGTAAACCCTGTACCCAAGAAGCTGAAGGAGGATTACAAGTTCGAGGCCAGCCTGGACTACATAGTGAGACCCTGTCTCAAAAACAAAAATGAAAACAAAACACTATCTATCTATCTATCTATCTATCTATCTAACTATCTATCTATCTAGGTACCAGTGCTGCAGTGTAACACTCTAAAAAGGTTCACAAATAGCTTAGATTAGCTCCAAAGCACATCCTAAAACTCAAACCTATAGGAATAATATAAGCATTTCAAATATATATACAATGCGTATTTTTTTTATAGTGGAAAGTATTCAGTCTGACTTCCTAGAATTAGTGCAGAGGAGTTACCTAGTGAACTGCTATCCAACTACTATTAAATCGTTAGTTATAAGTATCTTATATGTAACAAGATTCAACTGATAAACAGATAACAGTACTGCAGAGTAGCATTCTGAAAAGGTTCCCTGACAGCTTAGACCAGTTCCAAACCACATTTCAGGCGTATGTAAAATGAAAATGAAATGAAATGAAAGTTCATTCCCACTTGGGAGGCAGCGGGAAGACTGCTTGAACCCAGGAGTTTTAGGACCAGTCTGGGTGACATAGCCAGACTGTGTTACATTTCGTCAGAATGGCCAGAGTAGCTGCTCAGAGAGCAGTAAAGCTGACTGGAAAAATGGTCTTTGTGGTTCTTATTCATGTTATCTAAACATGTAAGTTAAGTGTTTCCAAAAGGTTTAACTCAAGAATATTAAAATCTAACGAGTTGTAAAGAGGCCCTATCTACACAGGGTTCTAAATCAAGTCAATGAAAAAGGTAACAGGATGCTGGGCATGGTGGCGCACACCTGTAATCCCAGCACTCGGGAGGCTGAGGCAGGAGGATTGTTTCAAGTTCGAGGCCAGCCTGGGCTACAAAGTGAGCTCAAATCCAGCCTGAACTGCATAGTGAGACCCTGTCTGAAAAAGACAAAAAAAAAAAAAAAGAGAAAATAAAGGAAAAGGCAACAGGAAAGACTAACTTCTCAGATACTTTGTAGCCTGGTAAATTAAAAAATTCAGTCTTGGTATGAATGGCTGCTTCATATCCACCACTGGGAGGGCAAACTGTGAATGGAGTAGTTTCAGAATGGGGATGATTCCAAGGATTTTAGGGCAGTGTGTCAGGTGGTCTCACTTCAGGATGCCCGGGCCTGGAGGAACAGGAAAATAGTGGGCCCCAAGACACTGCTGGGAAGCAGCCCATCGCACCAACAAGGGTGGGGCACTCTGGGTATTAGGACAAAGCAGCTCGTAAGAGGAAGCACTGCTGAGAAGGAGAGCGGAAAGCAAGGAATGAAACTGTGCATCCGGACAGGCTGAAAACGAAAACTATTGCTCAGCGGCACAGCACCTGCCTGGCAAGCGTGAGGTCGTGAGTTCGATTCCCAGTACCGGAAAAAACAAAAACAAAACAAAACCATTAGGTCTGAAACGCACCTCATTTTCTCCTGACTATTTGCACTGGGCTGACTTTCTGATGGCTAAGGAAGCATGGATCGCCCCCTCACGGGCCTAACACCACCGTCTCAGTCCCACCTTGCCTCTCGAAACCAACTCCTGCCCTGGCTGGAGAAGGCTCCAGGTGCAGATCCCCATGCAAAGTGTTCAGCTCTGACTTCCTAGAATCCGCGCAGAGGAGTTACCTCATGGCGGCTCCTCAACTGCTATTAAATCCAGTTAGTTACAAGGTCTTAGATTTTAATGACAAGATACAACTGATAAACAGACAATAGCTTAGACTAGCTCCAAAGGACATCCTGAAACACATTCGTATGGGAAAAACATAAACGTTTCAAACGATGTATACACACACGCCCACAGGCTCACCTGTCTCCGTTAGTTGTGACTGACTCAAACTTCGATTTTTTCTTGGGGATTTCATTTTGAATTGAAGATGTAGAAAGTGTTTTCTGGCTTTTATTAAGCAAAAAGAGAGACACACATTAGAAATCGAAGATATTAAACACCACAATGAAAGTCTGTCAGGCTCATTGGCACAGTGCCTGCCTCAAAAGCACAAGGCCCTGCGTTCGATTCCCAGTACCCAAAAAAAGAGAAAGAAAGTCAGTGTGTCAAATGGACCAATAGACCAATGTAAAAAAGTAGCTCTTCTATGCAGAGCTTGTATTTTCAATTCTTAAAATCTACTACAGTGTTGATTTTGTAGGTCTACAACGCATGGGTGGGTAGTTTCCGCAGGACCAACAAACATGCTTGGCTTTTAATAAATATGAGCTGCTTTATTAATACACGAGAACAGAATCAGTAAAACTTCAGTAAGTATAATCTGTCTTACGCTTTAAAAAGTACTTTTCCTTTCACTGACTCCCATATATTTCCCATCTAAGCGGTCGGAGAGGTACAGATGTGTTATTTCTACTTTGCTTCCTCCAGAAACTGAGCTCATCAAGGTCAATGGACCTACTCAAGGAGATGCAGCTAGTTAGTAGTAAAGCTGTGACTAGAAACCAGACTGACACATGTGAGTTCCTGATCTTCCTCACTATATCCTTATGAACCTCCTACAGGTGTCTGAGTCCCACAACAAAATCAGTTCTAGCCCCAGGAAGGTTACTTAACACTGGTCTTGACAGAAAAGCTTGAAGACTTTCTGGTATGCAACCCTTCATTTTGATGGATGTTTGGCTGTTATGGGCAAAGGGTTCTCCAGATCTTTCCTCACTTGACCTCTTCTCTGGTATACGATTCCACCAACCATTCTTCTTGGAACTTTCTCTTTTTTCGAGGGAGTGGTACTAGGGGGATTGAATGCAGGGCCTTGAGAATCCTAGGCACATGTACTACCTCTGAGCTATATCCCCAACCCTTTTTATTTTATTTTGAGACAAGGTCTAAATTATCCTAGCTGGCCTCAAACATAATCCTCCTGTCTCAGCCTCCCAAGCAGATGGGATTACAGCTACCCAGCTTTCCTCCTACTTCCATAAGAGCTACTTGTTAGTTCTTTGTCCATCTCTTAAGTACTGAATGCTTCTGGAGTTCTGTTCTCAACCCTTAGTTTGAGTTATGCCACCCAAAAGCATGGTTTTAACACAAGACTGGACATGGTGTCACCCCAGACCACCTTCACTAAAACCAACTGGGATGAGGCTGAGTGAGCGTGATGGCGCACGCCTGCAATCCCAGTACTTGGGAGGCTGAGGCAGAAGAACTGGCCAAGAGTTTGAAGCCAGCCTGGGCCACACAGGGCTTTCAAGGCCAGTGTGAACTGCACAGTGAGACTCTATCTCAAAAAACAAACAAAGAAACAAAAATCTAGGATGTTTATAAAATGATGCAGATTCCTAGACTCTATCCCAGATCCTACTGAATTGAATTCGGGGGCAGGGCTGTAGGAAACTACATTTTTTTTTTTTTTTTTTTAAAGACAGGATTTTGTTATACAGTGTAGGCCAGCTTTGAATTCACTATGTAGCCCAGGCTGGCTTCAGACTTGCAGAGATCCTCCTGTCTCAGCCTCTCAAGTGCTGGCACTACATTTTTAAATAATCTTTACTCTCAGTGATTCTTACATGCTACAAATTATCTATATCCAAATTTCTCTTCTGAGTTCTAGACTAAGCTCATGTAATTATTCTTGGTGCTTTAAACTCAGCTTTTCAAAACTAAACCTTCTCTTCTCCCATTCTTTTATTCTCTTTCAATTAAAGACCTACTATTGTTCATCCAAATAAAAAAACTGGGAATTATCTTTTGCCTTGTCTGTCTTTCTGAAGTAGTTAATTACTACTGTCTCTCATGCCTTCTTTGTCATCATCATCATTATTATCATTACACAGTCCAAACTGGCCTTGAACTCACTATGTAGCCCAGACTGGCCAGGAACTCCCCAATCCGCCTGTCTCAGACGGAAATGTGTGCCTCTATGCCCAGCTCTTACGCCTGGATCTCCCAGGTTTCCACTGTGCTCACTGCATTACTAGATGCAGGTGGAATGATGTGATTGCCAATCTATCTTCTCCACCCAACTGCATACTGAGAGAGCAGCATGACTCTTTTATTCATCTCTGTACTCCCAGCAATAATAATGTAGTAATAACAGCAGTAATGATAGTAATAACAAAAAGTAACTACAATGTATGGACTATTTCCTTATACGCCACTTATAAAACTAATCACTATGCATGTATTATATAACTTATCTTCACAACAACCCCATGAGGCAATACCAATTATTTCCCTCATCTTAAAGATAAGACAATTTGCCGGGCATGGTGGCTCATGCCTGTAATCCCAATACTCAGGAGGCTGAGGCAGGAGGATCTCTGTGAGTTGGAGGCCAACCTTGGCTACAAAGTGAGTTCAAGGCCAGCCTGAGGTGCATAGTGAAACTGTCTCAAAAAGACAAAAAGACAAAAAAAAAAAAGAAAAGAAACTTTCCCAAGATTCCCACAGAGAACTCAGCAGAACCATGATTCAATTTAGAGCCACAACTTTAAAAAAAAAAATTTCTCTTTTATTGGTACTGGGGATTGAACCCAGAACCTCACTCATACTAGGCAAGTGCTGTGCCAGTGAGCTACATTTCCAGCCCTTTTTTATTTTGAAACAAGTCTCACTAAGTTGGCACAGGCTAGGCTTGAACTTGCAATCCTTCTGCCTCAGGCTCACAAGTAGCTGGGATTAAAGGTACATGTCACTGTACCCAAAGCACAGCCCAAACTCCTAATATTATAGTTACTCTGAAAGGAAGCTTAGGGGCTGGGGATTTAGCTCAGCAGCACAGCACCTGCCTGGCAAGCACGAGGTCGTCAGCTCGATTCCTGGTACGAGGCGGGGGCGGGGGGAAGTGGAGGAATGAAAGGAAGCTTAAGTCATCAGTCAGAGGACATCTTTTGACTGGATGTCACCCTGACAAACCTAGAATATCCATTAACCTGAAGAAATATATATTTAAAAAGGTGCACGTCCCAAGAAGCCAAGTCTGGGTGTATCGGCATATGTTTATAATTCTTGCACTCTGGGAGGCTAAGGCTAAGGGAGTTTAAGCCCAGCCTGGACAATTTAGTAAGACTCTGTCTTAAAATTTAAAAACGGGCTGGGGATGCACCTCAGTGTGAAGGCCCTGTGTTCAATCCTCACTATCACACACAGATACATACATACATAAACACACAGACAGACACACACACACACACACACACACACACACAGAGGGAGGAGGAAAGAAAGAAAAAAGTGTATCCCTTAGCAAGTGAAGTGTCCAATCTCCTACAGAAATATCCCACTCTAAGGCTATGAACATTACATAAGAAGTGTAAGTTTTATAACTCAAAATTCTTCTTATGGTCTAGGAGAGAAAAAAATAGGAAAACTTCCACAAGATGGTTTTGTCCGCGTCTGCCCGTGCCTCACCTCTCACCTACCAGCACCCCCGGCCCAGCTCATGCACCGGGGTCACCTGTTATAATGGCTGCCGCCACTCAAGCGGCTGTACTGCTCCTTCTCTTGGTGGCCGGCCCGAGAAGAGCTGCTTAGGTGCTTCCTCTGCTCTTTGGTCTTCTGGAGGACGCGTTTGTACGAAAGTGTGCACAGCCAGCACAGCAGTTTCCCATCTACCTGAAAGACAAGAGGCGAAGAAGAGGAGATGCAACGGAGCGGCTGAGAACCTGGGCACTGGAGCTAGAACCTCCACATTATGTTCCAGCCGCTTGTGGGCTGTGTGACCTTGAGCAAGTCACAGGAGCTGCTGCAAGGATTTAGGGACATGTGTACAGAAAGCACTCAGAACGGAGCTTGGCATGTAAAAGTTACTTAATAAAAACAGCCTCTGATTTCAGGGGTGGTGGTACTGGTGAGTGAATGCAGGGCCTCACAACTTAGGCAAGTGCTCTACCATTGAGCTATATCCCAAGCCCTTTCCTAAAATTTTATTTCTTTATTTTTAAGACAGGGTTTCACTATGTAGTTCAAGCTGGCCTTGAACACACTATGTAGTTCTGGCTGGCCTCGAACGTGCAGCAATCCTCCTGTCTCACTCTCCCCAGTGCTGGGATTATAGGTGTGTGCCACCACGCCCAGCTCTAAAGTGTTTTTATCTTGGCAACAAAAGCTTCTTTGTTCCCCATCCTCTGCCAGGCACATCCAACCTGCAGCCCACTGTTTCTCTGCCCTTGATTTTTGTTTTTTTGTATGTTTTGCTTTTTAAGACAGGTTCTTGCTATGTAGTGCAGGCTGGCCTTGAATGCATTATATAGCCCAGACTGGCCTCAAACTCATGGCAATCCTCCTGCCTCAGCCTCCCAAGTGCTGGGATTACAGGCGCGAGCCACACCTAGCATGTTCTCACTTTTAACTCTACCATTTATATTTTAGTAGCGCTATTCTCATCTCTCACTGCCGCAAGAGCTGCCCAGTGATCAACCTATCCTGGGGCCTTATACGCTATTTCCTTTTTTTTTTTTTTGGTTTTTTTTTCCGGTACCGGGAACCGAACTCATGACCTTGCGCTTGCCAGGCAGGCGCTTTTGCCACTGAGCTAAATCCCCAGCCCCTTATACGCTATTTCCACACAGCTGCTAAAGAGGGCTTCTTAAATCTGATGATAACCTATCTCCTTAGCACCCAAGGATTTCTCCTTGTACCTAGCATAAAATCCAAACTTTTACTGTGGCCCATGTGACTTAAATGTAGCCTATACCTGTGTCTATAAGCTCATCTATTTTCTCTCCCTCTTGTTCATTCTGTTCTTCTATTCTTCCCATGTACCAAGCCCATTCCTGCCTTAGAATCTCTATATAACTAATTGGTCCTCCCGAGTAACTGGGATTACAGGTGTGCACTACCACATCTGGCTCCTCCATTTCTTTATTGCATTTACACCTAAAACTTTTGTTTACTTATCTCCTTTGTCATCACCCATCTCATTCTCTCATTACACATAAAGCTCCAGGAGTGCCTGGTCCTATTTGTTTAGTTCATTAGTATATGTTATGTGTCTAGATGTCCCCCACAGCCTCCTGTGGTCATAAGTGGGGCTTTTTCTGAGGTGGCTGGATCTAGAGTGCTGATGCTGGGACTAAGTGTGTGGTGCTGGGATAAAGGGTGTGAATACTAAATCAGTCCACTGGTTGGTTTGACATAGCTGTGGGAGTGGGTAACAGGAAGTCCCTCCCTGGGTGTGCGTGCTACTTGCCTAAAAGGCAGATAGTCTAGACAGAAAGAGGGCTGCTGGGGTTGCCTGTTCCTTGCTGCCTTCTCCCTTCTATGAACTGCTTCTCCTCTGTGATGCCCTTCTGCAATGCTGCTCCACCTTAGGGCCAGCCAACTATGGGCTAAAACCTCTATAAACTGTGAGCCAAATACACCTTACCTCTTTTAACTTTGTGTGTTGGATATTTTGTCTCAGCAACAAGAAAAAAAGTAACTAAGACAGTGTATTTTCACTATCTAAAGCCGAAACTTGGTATTTGTTAATAAATATACAAATGAACTTTGAACCCAAACTTCAATCTGGTTCACGTCATGCTTATGAAATATGTATTTATAGCCTGATTTATTTTTTTGGGAACTGAGAATTGAACTCAGGACCTTGTGCTTACCAGGCAGGGACTGTGCCACTGAACTATTATCCCTAAGCCCTATAGCCTGATTTAAAAACACCCAGAGGACTGTACCAGAGAAGAGGCTGCAATCAAGAAAGACTGTTAGCTGAGCAGACAGCGTATGCCTCTAATCCAGTCCTTGGGAGGCTGAGGCAAGAAGATCACTGTGAGTGTGAGGCCAGCCTGGGCTACACAGTGAGGTCAAGGCCAGCCTGGACTATAGATCAAGACAGTGCTACACTGGGGTGACCTTATGGCCAAAAAAAAAAAAGCAAGACGGGTGGTAGCGCACACAAGTTAGGCATGTTGGCACACACGTGCAGTCACAGCACTCCAGACGGAGGCTGAGGCAGGAGGCATGAAGTGAGTTCAAGGCCAGCCGAAATTATAGAGTGAGACTCTGTCACTAACAAACAGACAAAAAATAAAACAAAGCAACCTGGCTAAAAGAGAGCAAGCGCCAAACATGACAACTGCACAGATCACAAGACACTTTATTTCAGATCTCTGCTTTAAACTTTAAGAGAGAATTTTCTGGGCCAGGGATATAGCTCAGTGGCACAAGCACAAGGTCCCGAGTTCAACTCCCGGTACCAAAAAATAAAAAATAAAAAAAAAAGAGAGAGAATTTTCTGTGAATAAAACTATCAAATATCAAATACAATCACAGAGAACAATGAATGAGCGCTTACCACACACCAGATTCCATTCTAAAGGACTTACACATAATAGCTCAGGCTTTCTAACAACTCTGAAGTCATCCCCATTGATAGATGAGGAAGCAGGGGCTGACAGACTTACTTGCCCAGAGCCTCCCAGCTAATAAGTGATGTAATCAAGTCTTCGATACCTGCGTTAAGTCCAGACTCACACGCCCTACCTCCCCCGACACCAGTACTCAGGATTTTGTTTCGTTTTTTTGAGTCAGGGTCTCACTATGTAGTTCAGGCTAGCTTTAAACTTATGAAGTAGCCAGACTGGCCTCAAATTTGTGCAATCCTCCTACCTCAGCCTCCTAAGTGCTGGGATTATAGAAGTGCACCACCATACCTGGCTCAATATTCAGTATTCAACACAATACCTCACATATGCTAGGCAAATTCTGCCACTGAGCTACTTCCCCATCCTTTTAAAAATTTTATTTGGAGACAGGACCTTGCTAAACTGCCCAGGCTGGTCTTGAACTTGCAATCCCCCTGCCTCAGCCTCCCAAATTGTTAGGATTACAGGCATGCAATTCAGATCACCCACTCTCTGTTTTTTCCACTTAAATTCAAGCATACTAATTATACAGATTAATGAGTTACATTTTGGCAGATATGTACACGCACATACCATACTTTAACCATTCCCCCAACCCCCTCACTCCTTTCACATGCTCTTGAGGGAATTTCAGTGTGTACAAATGTATTTTGATCATATCCATGCCCATTAGATTACCCACGCATAATCCCTAAATTTAGTCTCCCTCTCCTAACGTTTATGATCATGTGTCTGAGGAGTCTGAAAATATCCAAACCCCTAAGATAGGATTAGAACAAAACAAAACAAACCAGCTTGAATTCCAGTATACCTAGATTAACAAAAATTAGCTATTGTAATTAGTAATAATCCAGGTATCATTTTTTTAGTTGTATTATGTGCCAGCTTCAAAAGTTAAGTGTTTTATATAGCTATCCCATTAAAACTCTCCATGTTCCTGTAAGTAGCTACCGTTATTCTCAGTGGAAAAAATAAGAACACTGCATATGAGAGTAACTTGCCCAGGATCATTCTTCTAGCCCCAGAGGGGATGGGACTTTGGCTTGAGCTGACCCCAGGCCTGGGGAGCATACTGTTATAAGCTGTCTCTTGATTATTGATTCAGCTTCTCCGGTATCTGGATTCAGGGAAAGGTAACCTGGTTGGCAGGGAGAAGTACTCTGGTCTGGTCATGGGAAACTTATAAATTATAAGGGAATCCATTATAAATTAATGAATTTGGTTAACAAGAGTTAGCCCTTCAAAGCCTGAGCACCTCTGAAAAGCAACGGGCACTGCAAAGGAATCTATGTACTACATTCTTTTCTGAGACAGCACTTTGCTACGTAAGCCAGGCTGACCTCAAACTCTTCATCCTCCTGTCTCAGTCTTCTAAGTGCTGGGACTTCAGCCATGTACCATCATACCCAGTTATACTGCATCCTCCTATTCAACAAGTATTTATTATGGACTATGTGCCAGGCTACTAGAAATATAGAGTAGAACAAGACAGCCAAAACGGTCACTGAGTAGTGTAAAAGAAAATTTTTCATACTGTTACTTATAGACTTTGAAGACAGTGAAACAGAGCGATGACGATATAAAGAGTAACTGCGGGTTAGGGGTTTCTCTCAGCCGTGGAGTAGCTGCTTAGCCTGCAACAGGCCCTGGGTTCCACCTAGAACGCCTTCCCCCCACACCATGTAACTGGAAGTTAGTAAAAGATCTGTGTGAGGACGTGGCATCCGGGTTGAGACCTGACACAAGGAGCCACTTATGACACTCTGATGGGGGCACAGCGGGAAGAGAGAACAGGCAGCACAGGGGAGGGGGAGCAAGACTATTGAGACTGGCCCGTCTGCAGCACTGAAAGCAGCCATTATGGCCAAACAAGGTGGGAAGCGGGAAGCAGTCTGCGACTGAGAGCTGGGTATGGGCCTTGCAGACATGGACCAGGTTTGCGTTTTATTCTAAGTATAACCAGATGGCAGTGCGGGGTTTTCATCAGGAGAGTAATATGCTGATCAAACTCTAAACCAGTTTTTTCTTTTTTTTTTTTTTTGGTACAGGGAATCAAACTCAGGACCTTGTGCTTGCCAGGCAGGCACTGAGCTGCTGAGCTATATCCCCAGTCCTAAGCCATTTTGATTCCACCAAGGTACTACCATTCCAAATACAGCTTCCCTAGCCGGGTGTGGTGGTGCACCCCTGTAATTCCAGCACACAGGAGGCTGAGGCAGGGGGATCACTGCGAGTTCAAGGTCAATCTGGGCTACAAAGTGAGTTGAAGGCCAGCCTGAATTGCACAGCAAAACCCTGTCTCAAAAAGCAAAAACAAAACAAACAAAAGCCCCAAATATAGCTTCCCTCTAATGTCATTTTCTTATGGTCTATAATTTAAAAAAAAATTTACAGAGCTAGCCAGTAATAATGATAATATCACTCTATCCTACTTAAATCACAATCTTTCCTTTATAGAATTCTATAGACTTCTGTCAATCACCATTAACAATGTAGTATCCCGGGGCTGGGGATTTAGCTCAGCGGCAAAGCGCCTGCCTGGCAAGCGCAAGGTCATGAGTTCGGTTCCCGGTACCGGAGAAAAACCAAAAAAAAAAAAACAAAACAAAACAATGTAGTATCCCAACTGCACTGAAATCAATCACTATAATTTGGATTCTTCTAAAATGCTGGCATAAGCCAGGCGTGGTGGCGCACGCCTGTAATCCCAGCACTCAGGAGGCTGAGGCAGGAGGATCGTTGTGAGTTCGAGACCAGCCTGGGCTACAAAGTGAGCTCAAGGCCAGCCGGAACTGCATAACGAGACCCTGTCTCAAAAAGACAAAAACAAAAAAAAAAACCCACACAAAATGCTGGAATACAATGGTCCACATTTGATAAGTAAAGAAAACAAAGTCTATCTTCTTCCAAGTCAACAGCAGAATTGGGAAAGAAACTCTCTTCATGTCCTTTTAAAACAATGGGTCTATTTTAACTTATCTGAAAGAAAAAAAAAAAAAATCAAGAAAAACACAGAGGTTTACCTTCTTTCTATCATCTTTTCTGTCGAATGCACACTGTTGCTTGCACTGTTCACAAGAATACGGTGGTCCATACTTCTTCTCTGAATTTGTGCAGCGCTGGCATTTATTGCCAATAAATGCTGCAATTATGTTGCAATACTGACAAGGTTTGGGCTGAAGAGGGGAAAAAAAAGGTCAAGTAAATACACTATAAAACATCAGTACATTATTGAAAACAATTTCTACTGTGTAGTCCACTGGTCATGGTAAAAATACATCGCCGGCGTCATAAATTTGCTCTTCTATTGATCAAATGAAGCTTCCTTTTTTTGAGACAGGGTCTCACTACGCAGTTCAGGCTGGCCTTGAACTCACTATGTAGCCCAGGCTGCCCTCGAACTCACAGGGGTCCTCCTATGTCACCATGCCCAGTATCTCCAAATTTCTGAAAAGCCGTCTTTGGCCCTATCCATGCATATGCAGGCCAAAGGAATCCCTGCTAGGACATGGCATCCTGAACCTTAACGTCAAGAGAAAAAAAATCACTCATCAACATAAACAATTGTTACCAAACAGAGGTCATGATTTTTCTTTCCCCTTTTTCACACGGGTCACTGAAGCTACTCAAAGAAAATTATAATCAAAATCCCACCAGAGTGACTATAATCACAGAACTCCAGAACAATAAGGATTAACTAAGTCTGAAGGTTGAGAAACTAGATATATTAAGATAATAGTTATTCTAATAAAAACTTTCTACTGACACTAATAGTCCATAGAAGACAAAGTACCAAAGAACCAAGTACTCACTATTAGATACAAAGAAATCCAACTTACCGTTCCATACAACTGCACGTTCTGAGCACATTTCTTGCATATAGTATTGGTTTTACTGTTAAAGAAAAAAAGAGACATAAAGCTTTGCTCAGAACATCTGAAAACTCATTTCTCCTTAAGACCAGGGAATTTGTCTGTTAGTGAAATATTGACCAGATACTTGGTTAACTCAGGTCTGAGTATCTGGTCAGCAACTCTTTTAATTATTGTTATTACTGATTGTGTTATTCCAAATAAAATTAGGCTTTAGTTAAAATAGTGAGCTATTTCTGATTATGACCTCTCTAAGTGTCCCTATGTAAAATTATCAGATATGGAGAAGACTCTCAAAGGATCATGTTAGACTGAAATGGACCAGCAGAAATTAATCTCTTCGTTCAAGTGAAGTGCTGAGAAATTTAAGGTGAGAGATAAAGTATTTGAGCTTGGAATATGAACTCAGAGATTCTATCCATTTTCACTCTATTTTATGTTCTCCTCTTTAAAAAAAATTAAAATTACAGAGGCAAACAAACAGACACTATAACCAAATATTTTGTCAATATTTCTGATTTCTTTAAGAGTTAAGCACTGACAAAAATAAAAATGTCGCCAGGTGTGGTGGCGCACGCCTGTAACCCCAGCACTCACTGAGGCAGGGGGATTGTTAACAAGATGGAGACCAGCCTGGATTACAAAGTGAGTTCAAGGACAGCCTGAACTGCAAGGTGAGACCCTGTCTCAAAAAGACAAAAATGGGGGCTGGGGATTTAGCTCAGCGGCACACCGCCTGCCTGGCAAGTGCAAGGTTGTGAGTTCGATTCCTGGTATGGGAAGAAAAACAAAACAAAACAAAAAACAAAAAAAATCAAAAAGGACAAAAAAAAAATGTCCTTGTTTTGTTTTTGAGACAGGGCCTCACTATGTAGTTCAGTCTGGCCTTGAACTCATGATATAGGCCAGGCTGGCCTTGAACTTGCAGTGATCTTGCCTCAGTCTCCCAATTGCTGGAATTACGTGTGGCTCCATGCCTGGCTAAAAATGGCCTTTGCCTTGTGTAGATATAGATGTCATAATATTATTTACACACCTGAACTAATAAAGCTGCATGGGGAAAAATCACCTCCAAATAAAGTCTAACATGGGGAGGTACAAAAGAATGACTGATGTACAAGGATGTTCTAAATACTCTGGGACTGAAAATAAAGTCATACAACAATCTAGTCAATTGTGATTATTTTCCCATACAATTTTTATGAGATAATCACAAAGTTAAACACAAAAGGTAATCCTCAGAGAAGAAAACGTTTAAATTAAAATATTCATGGGCCAGTCATGGGGGTGCACGTCTACAATCTCAGCACTCAGGAGGCTGTGGCAGGATTATCGAGTTCAAGACCAGCCTGGGCTACACAGTGAATTCAAGGTCAGTCTGAACTACATAGCAAGACCTCGTCTTTAAAAAATATATATATATATTCAAAGAAAATATTTCATGAGCTCAGTGATGTGTTGTTGACACCAGATGTAAAACGCCAAGTCCACCATGGGAGCATGACAGGCCACAGATTCTCTTTCAAGGGAGCTCTGAGCCCACAGATTAGACAATATGAGCAAGGCTCACCCTCCCGAGCTGAAAAACTTTATAGACAAGAACTACTATTGAAATTAACTGATGGCAGACATGTCCAAGGAATATTTCAAGGATTTGTTTTTTTTTTTTTTTTTTTTTTTGGTTTTTCTCCGGTACCGGGAACCGAACCGGGAACCGAACCGGGAACCGAACAGGGAACCGAACTCACGACCTTGCGCTTGCCAGGAAGGCGCTTTTGCCACTGAGCTAAATCCCCAGCCCCTATTTCAAGGATTTGATCCCTTTATAAATCTTGTGATAGATGTGATAGCTGTGGAGGTGGGACTAGTGGGCAACAGAATACTGGAACGGTGATAACACACGAAAACAGTACCATGCTAGAAACCCCGAACAAGTTTAAATAATGACTGTGTGGCAGAGAAATCCACGCCCCTCTTCAAAGTCAGAGTTTCACTATGTACAGGTAAATGGTCACAACTAGAGACCATACTCACAAGGAAAATAAACCAGACCTCTATGTGTAAGCAGCGTATTGTCTCACTAGTGTAAGAACCTGAAAGAGTGAATAAAAATTAGGAGGTATGATAGACATTGCGAAATGAAAGGAAAATGCTCAAAAGTAAAGAGCAACTGGGGTGAGGAAAAAGAGAAAAGAAAGAAGGGGAAATTACGTATGTGTGTATATACAGGATAGCTAACATAATTGTACTACTGACTTCTCTCGCTTCACTGAAAGGAACAGTTAATGATTACTTATTTGATCAATCTTGCATGTCTCTATTTGTTTTCCTGAGAAACTGCTTTGAAGATGTTAATACGTAATACAACAACCATTGTTAATTTCCTACCACTTTGACTGTAATTCAGGATTGCCTGTATTGTTCTTATGCTATTTTGTAAATGGATATCTGTTTGTTAATATGTTTCCTTAATTTTTAAAATAAATTTTTAAAAAAATGAATTTTCACTATGACTGAAAATTGGGTCATATACATTTTCATATTAAATTTTTTGTTAAATAAACTTTTGTAATAGTTAAAAAAAAGAAAAGGAGGGCTGGGAATATAGCAATATAGCTCAGTGGCATAAGCGCCTGCCTGGCAAGCGCAAGGTCCTGAGTTCAATTCCTGTTACCAGAAAAAAAAAAAAGGAAAGGAAATATTTTCCATGACACTTTTCAGCCATTTTTAGAAGGCAATACAGGAAGTATAGAAACTGGGAATGTAGCTCAGTGGTAGAATATGTATTTGCCTAGCATGTATAAGGCCCTGAGTTTAATATCCAACATCAAACAGAAAAAAAAGTACAATGAAAAAAGATCTCTAGAAAGAGTATTAGAATCAGTTATTCTGTGATGTTGAATAGCATTTAGATTTATACCTGGCTTTGTTACAGAAGAAATGGTGCATATGTTAAGATACACCTGACATTTTAAAAAACATGAAAAGAAAAATAATCACTAGGATTCATCTTAATTTTTGTGTAGTGTAAAGTAAGAGCCAAAGTGCATGCCTGACGCAGAGGCACACACACCTATAATCTTAGCAACTCAAGAGGTTGAATCAGGAGGACTGTAAGTTAGAGGACAGCCTGGACAATTTAGTGAGATCCTCACTCAAAAAAAAGGGGGATGCTAAGGATATAGCTCAATGCTAGGGCACCTGCCTAATACTTGTGAAACTCTGGGCTCAATCTTCAATACCACTAAAAAAAAATGAAGTCAGGCCAGGTGTGGTGGCACACACCTGTAATACCAGCACTCAGGAGGCTGAGCAGGAGAATCACTTTGAGTTCAAGGCCAGCCTGGGCTACACAGTAAATTCAAGGCTAGCCTAAACTACACACAGAAACTCTGTCTCAAAAAGGAAAAAAAAAAAAAGAAAAGAAAGTCAAAGCTCTTATCTCAACCCCAAACACATAAATTAATTCAAGATGGATAACAGAGCTAAATGTAAAAGCTAAAACACAAAGCTTCTAATTATATTCTGTATAATTCTATTTATATATGAAGGTTAAGAACAGGCAAAACTAATCAATGGTAGAATGAAAATCAGAACAGTGATTGCCTAGAGTGAGCAAGGAATGTAGAGACTGATGTGGATGTAAGATGATAGGGCTCTAGACAATGGTGACATTCTGTATTTTGATAGGGTTTGGGGTTGGGGATAGGGTCTCACTGTGTAGCTCAGCCTATCCTCCAACTTCTGGTGATCCTACCCCTCAGCCACCTGTGTTCTGGGATTACAGGTGTGTGCCACGGTGCTGGTTTATATGCAAATTTTACCTCTAAAAAAAAACAATAAAGACCCCACGCATGATGATGCATGCCTGTAATCCCAGCACTTGGAAGGCCAAGGTAGGACTGCTATGTGAGGTTACCTTGTGTTACATTGTGAGTTAAGAGCAGTCTGTACCACATAGAGACACCCTGTCTCAAAAAAAAAAAAAAAAAATTAAAATAAAGAACTAGGAGTTGAGGTGTACCTCAAGAGTACAGTGTTTGCCTAGCATGCATAAGGCCTTGGGTTCAGGTACTTGAAATAAATAAGTACTTGAAAATTTTAAATGAAAACTGTAAACAAATATTTAACTCCAGTTAATAATATGTATGCTGAAAAGCCAGGTGTGGTGGCGCACGCCTGTAATTCCAGCACTCAGGAGGCTGAGGCAGGAGGATTGCCAGTTCGAGGCCAGCCTGGGCTGCAAAGTGAGCTCAAGGCCAGCCTGAGCTGCATAGCAAGAACTTGTCTCAAAAAGACAAAAAAATAAATAAATAAATAAAATTAAAAATATATATATATATGCATGCTGAAGTGTTTCAGGATCAGATACACTGATTCTGCAATTTTAAAATGTATCAGAAAAAAAATAAAATGTATCAGAAATAAGATGAATTGATGTAGCAACTGGCAGATGATGAAATGCATAGATACAAACATAGCCAGTATTTAAGGCTTTCACAGGTGTATACAGGTGTTCACTAATTCAACCTTTTTTGTTGTTGTTTGGAAAATATCCATAATAAAGTGTTGAGAAAAATATTCCTAGAATTGAAGTTAGGCCTATTAAAATTAAATCTAAAACAAATTAGATCTAGTGTGAGCACCCTGGCTTCATCAGGATCACCTACAATTACAAAGATTTCATTAAAGTTGAACTTACTATAGCAATAAATCACTTTGTTGCTATTGCAAATTCCCCCAAAGATGTGTGTTCATTCACACCTAAGTGTTTTTTATTTACACTTTTATTCTAAATTGTTTTTTTTTTTGGTACTGGGAATGGAACTCATGGCCTTGTGCTTGCCAGGCAGGCGCTGTGCTGCTGAGCTATATCCCCGGCCTTTTACACTTCTAAAAATGAGATTCACACAAAGGAAATGTAAAGGCAAGTAAATTTGAAATGTGACCAGGACTAACAAAACTTTTAGAACTGTCACATTTCTAAAAGTATCTTTTTTTGGCATTATGGTTTCTTCAAGATCTGTACATATCAATAGTGGAGCATGAGGTCCACATTTTACTGCTGTGGGAATGGTCTCTCAGGGCCAAAAAATCACACCCACAATATGAAATGATCAAGGACCTGAAAAAAATGGTAGCTTTAAAATTTTAAGCAATCAGGGGCTGGGGAATGTAGCTCAGTGGTGGAGCATGTGCTTATGGCATACACCAGTCACTGGATTCAAGTCCCAACACTAAAAAGCAAAAAAATTTAAGCAACAAGCATTCAAATTGAGCAAGGTGGCAATGCCTGTAACCCCAGCTACTCAAGAGACTGAGGCAGGAAGACTGCCAATCCCATGGCCAGCCCCAGGCAACTTAGGAGAAATTCTGTCCCAACTCAAAAATAAAAGGGCTGGCAGCCAGGCCAGGTGGCGCATGTGTATAATGCCTATACTCTGGGAGCCTGGGACAGGCAAATCACAACTTCCAGGCTTCACATGGACAATTTAGCAAGACTCTATCCCAAAATTAACAATAAAAAAGAGCTGAGGATGTAGCTCAGTATGAACACTCTGTTGTTTGATCTCTGTTGTTTGATCAAACAAACAAATGCACTCAGCATATAGCTCAATGGGAGAACACATGCCCAGCATGTGCAAGGTCCTGGGTTCAATCCTCAGTATTGGAAAAAATAAATTTAAGCAATCAATGGGCAATGTTTAGGGAATATTATGTGTTTTATATGCCCTTTGATGTAACAGGAAAGGGCAGAATCTGTGTATAAAGTAATTGACTACAGATCTGTATGTTACAATGCAAATGATTACAGATCTCTCTTACATGAAATGTAATGACAGATTTTTAAGAGCCTAACAGCCTGTATTTTTCATAGGCAACCAAAACTCTACCTCTCCTGCTGGTACTCAGTCCTGCAGTAGGTGCACTTCACAACAGGGTGTGCAATCCGACATTCCTGAAATGAAACGAGGATATCATTTTAAAAGGCACTCAAAAACAGCAACAGCCTTCAGTAGGAAGAATACCTGGGTACTATCCCTAGCACAGCCACTACGCTTGAGTGAGTCACTAACTTTCTGGAACTTATTTTCCTGTTCTGTAATATCTGCATCACTGCCCAGCTGTTGATGTGGGAGTTAAGTAAGAATTTATATAGAACTAGTCATAAATTGTAAAGCAAACTAGGAATAAACCCCAGACCGGGAATCAGATTCTAGTCCTGGCTCTGTTGGTGTGCTTTTGAGCAAGTTTATTTGTGAAATGAAAGTGCTACATGTTTTTTAAAGGCCAAGAAAGATATTTAAGCACTTGCGTTCTCTCAGACCTGGTAAACAAGACTGGTAAAAAAACATGAGTGCGTTCTCTCAGACCCGGCAAAAAGGAAAGTCAGGGCCATCTGAGAAAGAGTAACATACAATTCAGAGTAAATCAGAAGCAAACTGGATTATTTCTGGGTTATCTCAACATCACTTTCTTTTGGCGGGCTTGCCGACTGTTAACTTCTATCTTACATCAACTCCACTCACTTAAATAGGCAACGCGGGATGAAGGAACTTAAGGGAAAGAGAACTTCAGGAGTAACAACTCGGTTAGAGCAAGGACTGAAGGCCACCAACTGGATGCTGAGAAGTCATCCTTCAGATTTGTGTTCTTGGTTCTTGGGAGGGCTTTTTTTATTTTTAATAAAGCCTTGCCATCTCAGACTCTGAGACTGGCCGAAAAGCGCCCGTGAGGCGTCGGAGCTCGAGACGCCGGAGTTCAGTCCCAGGTGGGCACAGGGGTCCCTCCGTCCGCAATTCGGGCGACCGCGGCGGCAAGGAAGGCAGCCCGAACGGGTCCTCAGCGCTCCCGGTCAGGCGCATGCAGGCACCCGCGGTTTCCTCCCCCGATCTCGCCGGGTCCGAGAACAAGCCCCCGCGGTTGCTAAGCACCCGGGCACGCCTGCCGCCGGGGCCGGGACCAGACCCGGGGCTCCCCCGCGCGCCCC